GGAACACAGGTAGCAGGCACTCTGTCCATCAGTGTATGTGTAATTCTTAGGTGCAAGAACCGACGAGCGAGTTTCTCCTTGCAGTCCATATGTAACTGTGTTTGGCTCTCTCCAGCTACTCTACAAATGCATGGGGTTTTTTGCCTGGCCTTTCAGTTCACTTGGTTGGAATGTGAAGCGATGTGCCTCAACACTCCTCCTCTGGTATTCTACGCTGGCTGTATCTCTGCAGGCATCAAACTGAGAGAAAAATATTCGTATCAGGAGAAACAGGGGTAGGGTTAGGGGAGCAGAAAAATGAAGAGTGGACTGCTTCAGTAAAACTGCTAACCTTGAATTATGCAATCGGAAAAACAGCTCTTGCCAAAACACAATTCTAACGGAGTTCAGAGTACTGTCAGCGTTTGCCAAATACCCCAGCCAAAAGGATGTCTCAAAGAGGGGGAGGAGGGATCCGTTGCCATATGCCCAGCATTCACAGTATTCTGGAAGAACTGTGGAGTCCTTCAGGAGTGGAGGCGTTCGCGTGGTCTCCGGCGCACCCCGAGTGTTGGTACCACGATCCAGCACAAAGCAGGAGCAGCGAGGTCAGAGGGGGGTAGGCAAATACACCAGAAAGTCTGTATTTCTCAAACCTTCCAAGGTTTTGCTTCACGTTTGTATAGTAGTGGGAGGAGTTCTGGCAAACATTATCAGGCTGTTCTACATATGTTTTGACTCTTCTTGTTTTATGTTTCTTCTATGAAAGAGACTGCAACCAAGTTCTTGTCATTTTTAGATCAATGTTTTGTTAAACTATGACAGCTATCCATGACAGAGAGCCAAGTAACTTTTGCAGCTGACCACAAAACTGAGTCTGACTTGCAGTGCTTAGTCATTTTTTATATATTTTTTTTTCTACATGACACATTCCATGTGTGTATGTGTTTTTCATTGTTCTTTTAAATATAATTAGAACATTGCTAGGAGCTATGGTACAAGTCAATCTTCTCCAGCAGATTACTTTCTGTGATTAATAAAGTTTTAGAAACTTCTCATCACATTCTGGCTATTGATGAAACCTCTCTGGTTATACTTTGAACAACTGGACTATTGTGGGATTGATTGCTCTCTACGCTATTATCTTCTCTGGTTTGCCCATTACAATTTGAAATGATCCAGATAACAGAGCTCTTGCTGCCCCTACGGAGAGTCCCTCCTACAATCCCATAGCAATGACCATCAGGATAGTTTTCCCCAACCTCTGCCGAAGTTTCCTCTGCATAGAGGAAAAAGATGTTTCCAAGATGTCTTTTAGCCTTCTGGGGCCTGATCAGAAATTCAGAAATTTAGAAGAAAGGGAATCACTTCATCTTTAGCAGGAGATCCCTATGTTTCTCCTCCTGCAAGAGCAGAAGCATTTCTCGCCATTTGGTTCTCTGCTTTGTGCAGTCTGATTTTTAGCAGGTCTCACAGGCAAGACTTTGCAGTGCTTCCCTGGGTCTGGACCAGCCTTGCCTGTTCTTCCTGGCAGTATTGGTTCTAGGCTGCAATTGATGCCACTCCTGCATTGCTCATAGGATGAATGGCATTTTATACCTTTGGGGCGTGGGGCAAATCTGAAACGAAGGGATTACCACTCTGGTTATTTTCTTGTAGCTTTAAAAACCTGAAAGCATGTACAATTTCATCAGCTGAGCTCTCCTCCCCATTTCTTTCTCTGCCCAGCAAGACCATTGGATGTAGAGTCTTGGTGTAATGACAAAATAAGCTTAAGGCATAGTCCAGCATAGTGTGCAGGAATGTGCCACTGCCTCCTGAATTGTGCTTTAATAAAAGTGTGCTGCTGAACACAGCAGGCATGTACTCCACCTCCTATCGCTGGATGGTACCACAGCTTGCTACTGTTTACATAGCTAATCCAAGACAGCGGAGTGGTGGCAGTTTTAAGAATGTGTAATTTGCTATTGAATTAAGATAATGATGATAAATAGATCCTCCTTTTGTATAAACTTGAAACCATTGTGGATCCCGTGTCTGAAGCTCTTAAATAGTCTCTATGAGAGGAGGCTGGGCTAGCAATGTCAGCAGGTTGCCAGTTTATTTGGGGTCAGGGAAAAAAAGACTTTTTTTCCTTTGTTTCTTTGGAGCTTCCATAAATATTTTCTCCATCAACTGAAAGATTCTGTAGGAAAGGTAAGGAGATGCTTCCATCAAATGAAAGTCATCAACTGGATGCTTTCAAGTAAATACATGTGGGTATGCTGCTTAGCCCCTTTCAAATATTTTGTAATTGTAAAAGCATTTCTGTATGTCAGGACTGGGGAAAATCAGCTGCCGTGTGTTTAATGGGAAAAGCATAGGACAGGAAATCGGAACGCTACTTATGTGTAGTCAGGCTTTTGCATCCTGCCAGGGTGTCGCTGATCTCTTTCTGCTCTCCTGATGCTGTTGCAGAGGCTTAGGTAAAGAGCAGGCCTTATCCTTACTCTTGCCTGAGTGCCTTTTAAACTTAAGTATTTCTGAACATTAACACAGAAAAGTACTGCTGGCTGTTTTGACGTCCTCTGTTTCAAGAGCAATGTCGTGCAGAAGTTCTTTTTAACTGCCACCTTATCGTTCCTGATTGAATTAAATCGTCGTTCTCTGCGTTTAAGTAGCAGGGAGGAAATTGTCACCATGTTGAAAGGGTGGTCTCCACGCTGACCCAGGTTTTGGCTGCCCGGAGAGCCACCTGCAAGCGCTGGGGCTGAGGATTCATCTGGCATTTCTTTGCAGCCCCTCTTCAATCATGCCTGTGCTCTCGCACTTCATCTAATGCGACTGTACCTCAAAATGCAAAACTTTGCCCAAGATGAATAGCAGCAGAGCATCTGCGGTCTTGTTAAGTCAAACGCTGATAAACGAGCCGTACCCCGCGCGTACCTTGCAGACAGCATGCTGGAGTATTCGCTGACCTTAAGACTCAATCAGATCATGTCGGCAGAGTGTGGTTCTGAATGTAACTGCCTCCGACTTCAGCGGTGGCGTTTACTGCATAAAGAAAAAGCTGTTAAGCCTGTGCCCTTTGCGCTCTCAGCTCTGTTTCTCTAAGAGGTTTATACATGATTCAAGAAAAGTCTGCAACAGAATAACTCCCCTCCCCCATAATACACCCAACAAGAGGAGATGTTCTTTTATATTTTACGTTTGTGGCAGCATTTTAAAATGATTTCCGACATAAAAATTTTTGAACTGTTACCATTCTGAAGTTGACGGTAAATAGATTTTTTTGAGGAAAAACTGTTTACTTACATTATATAGCTGAGATCCATTTGGAAGAAATACAAAGTCAACTTATTCCTGACTTTCTGTCTGCTGACAGGCTGCTTTGGAAATGAGAGCTGAGTTAAAACCAGTAGATCAAAGAGTCTGGTAAAGCTAAATGCCTGAATAGTTCAGGTGCTTACTGGAAGCTTCTCCAGGCTTTCTGGATCTGCTGTGCCTGGAAGTGTTACAGAAACCCTTTTGCTTGTGATAGGCTGACTCTGCTGCATGAGCTTTTCCTGCAAAAACCAAGAGGATAACTCACCTTGCGCAGTTTCGGCAGTGATGTGTCTGCTTATAGACAGAGCACCGGGCGTGCGAAAGGGATCCACAATGAAAATGAATGTGAGGAGAAGGAAAAAGAAAGTTATCGTCATGTTCCTGTGCCACTGTACGAAGTTGGCAGATTAGCCTCCTTTCTAACTCTCTCACAACGTTCTTTGTGAAATTACTTACTTACATGAATTTGAACCATTCTTTGAATTGCAGATGCAGGGACATCGCATCGCAGGAAGCGTTTCTGTATTCGTATTGTTCTCTTTTCTGTTTTCTTCTATAGTACAACCCACTGACATTATTAGGCTACATCGAATAGTTGTAAAGTCTCCGGTTGCCATGTGAAATCTGAAAGTTTTTTTAGTTTGTTGATCTTTTACAGTCATCAGGAGTGGAATAGAGCAACAAAACAGCAATCTTTCTTTCAGGAAGAAGCTCAAAAGAATTTTTTCAGCTGGAGCCACTTTATTATCATTCCGTATCATGTCATTTTCTTAGCTTTGCAAAAGGCACAGTGCCTAACATTTTGAAATGTTAGTATTGCTTTCCTGAAAGATTTATTTTTAAACATATGATTGTCAGGAAGATAGAACATTTATGAGTAAAATTTATCAGGAAAACAAAAACAGTTGGAAAATGGAACACCTTTGTATTTGTAAAGTCATACAATTCTGGGGGAAGCGAGGTGTTTTGAAGAGAACATTGGAATTGATGGCCCTGGCATGTTGTTCTGGCAGTGTCTTTAGACACCACTGCAGCCTGACAGATTAATTGGCAGCACGCACTAGCCTGTTGCAATCCAGGGTTCACAGATAGTTCTGACTAGATGAATGACGGACAGGGTGTTAGTAGGGTTGGGCAAACAGTCTGGACAAGAACACAAACTGCTGCCCAAGTATCATGCTTCATTCAGGCTGACCCTTTCCCAAGGCCTGCATAAGTTTGAACTACAGTTTTCTTATCCCCTGTGGGCTGCTTCTTAAAATATTGCCTTTTAAAAAACAAAAAGGGCAAAGTCACCCATGTCTCCGCACTTTGATTGCAGGCTGGAAATAGAGTAAAACAATAAATACATTGCAAAAGAACGTGTATCATCTAAACTTCCAGTCCAGCTTTGCAGTCCCAGGGACATAGAGAGTTGAAGTATTCTTCAGATGTGCAGCCAATTTTATCATGCCTAACTAAACCAATCTTTTCAACACTACGAAGTTTGCTCATCGCTAGCTAATAAGCATGTTTTAAAAAGGACTTGGTAGAGTCTGCAACCATATCCCTTCCAGAAAAAATATTATTATGTATTCTTAAATACCTGGCTCAGTAAACTGTTGCGAATGAATTGTTATCCAGCTTCCTGTCAACCTTCTAAATTACCTATGAACTTTGCAGTTACAATATTTAATGATTTTCCTGATCCAAATCCCGTCATCTTGCCCATATAGGACAAAACAACACTGGAGACCCTGACTCAGCAACTGGCAGTAAAACAGGGCGAAGACGGGAAGTTTAGCCACGCAATGATGGATTTCAACATGAGTGGAGATTCTGACGGTCAGTACAAATGGCTTATCCTTATTTCCAGGTTTGTGTGTACATGTTAGGGGGATCTGGAGGAGAATCCAAGTGCTTTG